TAAAATGGGTTAGATTAGTATTAGTTTGGATACAACAAAAGAATGCTATTAGATCTATTCAATCTAACAAGTATCTTGTGCCGAAATTAAAATATATTGTATCACAATTAAAGTATTATGTGTAAGAATTCAAATATTTTGTGTTAGAATTACAAGATAATATAGTTAGTATTCTCTTATTTACTATCGCTATTTGTTATTTAAGCAAAGTACCATTACATTATACTTATCCTACTAAACTACAAGTGCAAGAAATAGAAGAAAAAGAAAGGCAAGAAATAGATAGAGAAAGGGAAGAGAGAGATAGAGAAGAAATAGATAGAGAAAGTGATGAAAGAGATAAAGAAAGGGAAGAAAGAGCTGAAGAAATATATAAAGCAATAGAAAAACTTTTTGAAGGGGAAGGAGCTAAAGAGGAACAAGCGGTATCCACCAAGAAAGATGAATATTTATTATTGTTTGAAAATTGGTTTGAAAAACCTATCATGACTTATATTTTTAACTATAATTGAAGGAGATGACCATTTCGATATATAAAAAATCAACAATTTCAAAATGGTGTAAAAAATATGATGTCACAATATTTTTTTTTATACATGTGAAAGTGATGGAAAAGAACGAATAACTTTTACCTACCTTCCTAGTTTGGCAACTTTTGGAGAAATGATACAAGAGAGGATATCTTTTTTCATGACAGACAATTTTGCTTATGATGAATTAGATAATTGTTGGAGCTTTAATAATGAACTAAAAGCAAGACATCTAAGTAAGGAATTTCTAAATTGAGTCGAAACTTTAGAGAAAAAAATATTTTGATCTAGACATACTCAAAAAAAAAAAAAAAAAAAAAACTTGATTGTGTAAAAATGAAACTAAAGAAGAATACTATCCTCAAAAATATAATCCGTTCCTTTATGGATCTTATCGTGGCAGAATACGAAAATTATTTTCCCCAAAGGAAAGTTATAATTTCCCCAAAGGAAAGTTATATAAAAAGATACATGAATACACCTTCACTACTAGAAAAATGATGTATACGGACCGAACATATACGGACTGAATACTGTCAGTCAGAAAAAATAAATATTCGAAATAATATTGGTCCGAATATATTCAGGTGGCACAAAATATACTAATCAACTTATTCGGACCAGTATCGGTCCGTATATTTCTGGCGGGAATCCACAGTATAAAAGCGCCAATAATATTTAGACCAAAAATGGTCCAAATATAATTTCTAAAAAAATAAATATTAAATAAAAAAATATGAATAAAATATTATTTAAATAAATATATACGGACCGACTTCGGTCTGTAAATATCCATTAGAAAAAACAAAATTTTATTTTTCTATTCGGACCGATTTCGGTCCGTATATTTATTATTTTTCTTAAAAAATAAATATTAAATAACAAAAATTAATAATGAATTATTATTTTTAATGAAAATATACGGACCGAAATCTGTCCGTATATATCATGTTGAAAACCGTATATATTAATTTATTATATGGACCGGGATCAATCCGTATATGCCATGAACTGCAGCTTTTTTAATTTTTTTTTTTTATGTTATATTTGGTGAACTTTAAAATTTTTCATGTATATATGTTTATTTTATTACGTTTTTCAATTTTCTTTTATATTTATGTATATTTTGTTTTTTGTTTTGTAGGAAATGTGAAGAATTTCAAGTAAAAGCATTTTTTTTATTTTATTGTAAATTACATTATTTATATAGTTGTAGTTTATATATATTTATATTTTATTTTTTATTTACAATTATAATTACCAATATTATATTTTTATTTATTTTTATATGTTTTATACTTACCAAATAAGTATGATTTTTATTAAGTAAAACTAAAACTAAAATTGAAATTTATTAAGTAAATATAATATAATTAAACTTTTACATATTTTAAGTCATTATTTTAAGTAATTATTCCGAGCATATTTTATTCTTTTATAAATGCATTTATTTTGAATGGTAAAATATATTTTTGCATTATTTGGTAATATTATGTAATTATTAAATAAAATAAATCTGTTTTCTTTAATTTTTATTGTTTTTTTTTTCTTTAAATGATATATACGGACTGATG